GCGGTTTGCGTCCTGGACACAGTGGCTTAAAACTCACGCCGGGCACGTGTGCGTGCATGCCCAAGATCCCGAGAGGAGAATGGAGGAGAAGGGATTGTGGCGTGACCATCCCCTCTGTGGGGTGATTTCTCGCTTTTTGTCTCTATGTCTGTCTCTGTCTGTCTGGCGAGCGCACGCGCCCTACAGTGAAAATCTCTCCAAAAAAAACCACAAAAAAACCCAAAAAACTGCGTGGTCAGCCATGTGAAATCCAGCTGCCTTAACCACCATCAGGCTATGGACTGGTCAGTTTCATTTGGGTAAATAGCATTACTGAAAGCGATTGTAGAGATCCTTGCTATTGAAAATGTCATAGCAGTAGCCGCAGCAAGTGGGCACTTGTTAAAGGTGTTCCACCTTTGGACCTACCCCCAAACCCAATCATTCATAATCTGCAGTTAATGAGATCACTGGTGAGTCACATAGTAAAGTTTGAGATTTAAGTACTACTTTAAATTAATGAAACTAACCGAGCGTATGCTTTTAGGTTTTTTCCAAGTACCAGGGTGCTTAGTTGTTCACATTTCACAGAATCAGAAAGTGTTGATTGACAAGGAAGATTTGTTGAGTGAAAAATTGTTTGTTTATTTTTATTTGTTATTTTAAAAATTTGATCAGAGAGACAGAAAGGGAATGTGAGAAGGCAAGCCACCAGGTCCGAGACTCAAATTGTGATTGACTGTGGGGGGGGAAGTCCAGCACCAAACCACCATGCCATTGGCTGGCCTTGTGAGTGAAAATTTTTAATGTATGGTCCTAGAAGTTTATTTTATTTCTTAAAGAATTGTTTATTTAATTTTATTCTTAATGTTCTATAGGCACACGTGTTCACCAGAGAGAGAGAGAGGAGAGAGAGCGAGAGAGAGAGAGAGAGAGAGAGCGAGCGAGAGAGCGAGAGAGGGCGAGCTAGATAGAGAGAATGAGAACTGTAAGCTGCCAGGTCTGGGACTTGAACTATGGTTGGCCATGTGAGAGCCTAGAGCCCCAACTATCACTCCACCTGATGGCCTCAATCCTAGAAATTTAGATAATGATTTGTTACCTAAATTATTCCAAGGAGGAGGACATCTGCTGGTCTCCAGGTGAACACTACTTTCTGAGGAATCCATATTTAGCTCAGGATCCTGTCAAATCAAATTACCAGTGATTGTCTCCTGTGGCTCCTATTTCATCAGGCCTATGCCTTCATTGGTCTTAAAGAGTGGGGAGAACCATTGATTGCAGCATAGATCTGGGGCCAAAAGAGGCCTGGAGGCTTAGGACTGAATACTTTCTAGAAGGTAGAGGAGATGTAGGAGAGGTATGAAGCACAGCATCATTTGTGCCTGCTAGGATTTGAGAAGGCTCTGTGGAGATCCTGAACATGTGTGGGGTGGTCCAGGGTATGTGACTGAGCCCTCACCTCTGCTATCCTGTTCACAACTCAGCCTCTGGTAATGGAGTCTGTGCTTTTAATATTACACTGTATTTGTATGAAGAGCTATATTCACTTGAAGTACTATTTCAAGCAAATGGTTCTCCCATAGACTGACTAAATGATGCTTAATATTCACATATAGTTGGACATTTTTGGTAAGATTCCCTTTCTGTGGTAAAGGTAGTAGGCACAAATAAAATTAGTACTATGTTGATAGATTCCATATTAATATTTGGATATTTCACAATTACCTGACTCTTGACCTTATTTTACTTTGCCACTTAAACTTTTTTTATGGGGCTTTGTTTTCAACTAATTTTGGACTTATAAATAAAATAAAAAGGTGGTTAAAAGGGATCCCAGCATAATGGTTATGTCACTGGACTTCCACGTAGTCAACTGCAGTTTGAATCATGGACCTGCTTATTTGATTTCCTCCTTTCCTTACCACCCTTACTTGGAAGACTGTCCTGCTTATTATCCAGGTTGAATCTATTTACAAACAAATATACTTCTATCAAGAGTATATAAATAATAGGGACCAGCAGTTAGCGTAATGGCTATGTTACTGGACTCCCACGTAGTCAACCGCGGTTTGCGTCCTGGACACAGTGGCTTAAAACTCACGCCGGGCACGTGTGCGTGCATGCCCAAGATCCCGAGAGGAGAATGGAGGAGAAGGGATTGTGGCGTGACCATCCCCTCTGTGGGGTGATTTCTCGCTTTTTGTCTCTATGTCTGTCTCTGTCTGTCTGGCGAGCGCACGCGCCCTACAGTGAAAATCTCTCCAAAAAAAACCACAAAAAAACCCAAAAAACTGCGTGGTCAGCCATGTGAAATCCAGCTGCCTTAACCACCATCAGGCTATGGACTGGTCAGTTTCATTTGGGTAAATAGCATTACTGAAAGCGATTGTAGAGATCCTTGCTATTGAAAATGTCATAGCAGTAGCCGCAGCAAGTGGGCACTTGTTAAAGGTGTTCCACCTTTGGACCTACCCCCAAACCCAATCATTCATAATCTGCAGTTAATGAGATCACTGGTGAGTCACATAGTAAAGTTTGAGATTTAAGTACTACTTTAAATTAATGAAACTAACCGAGCGTATGCTTTTAGGTTTTTTCCAAGTACCAGGGTGCTTAGTTGTTCACATTTCACAGAATCAGAAAGTGTTGATTGACAAGGAAGATTTGTTGAGTGAAAAATTGTTTGTTTATTTTTATTTGTTATTTTAAAAATTTGATCAGAGAGACAGAAAGGGAATGTGAGAAGGCAAGCCACCAGGTCCGAGACTCAAATTGTGATTGACTGTGGGGGGGGAAGTCCAGCACCAAACCACCATGCCATTGGCTGGCCTTGTGAGTGAAAATTTTTAATGTATGGTCCTAGAAGTTTATTTTATTTCTTAAAGAATTGTTTATTTAATTTTATTCTTAATGTTCTATAGGCACACGTGTTCACCAGAGAGAGAGAGAGGAGAGAGAGCGAGAGAGAGAGAGAGAGAGAGAGCGAGCGAGAGAGCGAGAGAGGGCGAGCTAGATAGAGAGAATGAGAACTGTAAGCTGCCAGGTCTGGGACTTGAACTATGGTTGGCCATGTGAGAGCCTAGAGCCCCAACTATCACTCCACCTGATGGCCTCAATCCTAGAAATTTAGATAATGATTTGTTACCTAAATTATTCCAAGGAGGAGGACATCTGCTGGTCTCCAGGTGAACACTACTTTCTGAGGAATCCATATTTAGCTCAGGATCCTGTCAAATCAAATTACCAGTGATTGTCTCCTGTGGCTCCTATTTCATCAGGCCTATGCCTTCATTGGTCTTAAAGAGTGGGGAGAACCATTGATTGCAGCATAGATCTGGGGCCAAAAGAGGCCTGGAGGCTTAGGACTGAATACTTTCTAGAAGGTAGAGGAGATGTAGGAGAGGTATGAAGCACAGCATCATTTGTGCCTGCTAGGATTTGAGAAGGCTCTGTGGAGATCCTGAACATGTGTGGGGTGGTCCAGGGTATGTGACTGAGCCCTCACCTCTGCTATCCTGTTCACAACTCAGCCTCTGGTAATGGAGTCTGTGCTTTTAATATTACACTGTATTTGTATGAAGAGCTATATTCACTTGAAGTACTATTTCAAGCAAATGGTTCTCCCATAGACTGACTAAATGATGCTTAATATTCACATATAGTTGGACATTTTTGGTAAGATTCCCTTTCTGTGGTAAAGGTAGTAGGCACAAATAAAATTAGTACTATGTTGATAGATTCCATATTAATATTTGGATATTTCACAATTACCTGACTCTTGACCTTATTTTACTTTGCCACTTAAACTTTTTTTATGGGGCTTTGTTTTCAACTAATTTTGGACTTATAAATAAAATAAAAAGGTGGTTAAAAGGGATCCCAGCATAATGGTTATGTCACTGGACTTCCACGTAGTCAACTGCAGTTTGAATCATGGACCTGCTTAAAAGTCACTCCAGGTCCGTTTGCATGTGTACTCAAGATCTCCAGGGGAGATTGGAGGAGAAGGTGTTGATATCTGCCCCCCGACCCCCAAGGGTGATTTCTCTCTTTCTGTTTTTCTGTCTGTCTCTGGCAAGCACATGCGTCGTATAGCAAAAAGCTCTCTCTCCCCCTAAAAAGTGGTACATGAAAGGATAGATACAGTGAAAGATAAGTTTCTCTTCCATTCTTGCCTTCTTATCCTCCCATGAGGAGGATACTCCTTCCACGAAAGTCTACTATGTTTGTGTATCTTCCCTCCCTACTTAGGTATGCAGATTAGAACAATATCATCTTGTACTTTTATGTGTGTTTTACTTAACTACTTTGGAGTTTGTTCCATGATAGTTCATTGAGGTTTATCACTTTTCCTGAGATTGTTTATACAGGATATTTGGTGTTCATTTAAAAGTTTGTGGAGGGCTGGCTGGCCCTGTAGTGCAGTGTATAGGGAGCTGGGTCTGACACAGTTGACTCTGGTCTGAATCCCAGCCTCACTACTTGGAGTACACACAGGATGCATGCACATGTGTGCCCAAGGTCCTAGTAGAATAGGGAGTTTGAAAGAAGTAGATGTGGCAACATTATATTCTCGATTAGTGGACAGAAAAAACAAATGTCAGGTCAGCCTGATTTGCAGAAGTTTAAAGATAATGGTTTGGTTCTGAATTATTTAAAGCTGTCAGTGATTACTTTTTCATGCTTCTGAATACTGTGCAAGGGATGAGATGTGATAAACCCTGTGTGTTGGAGGGTGGGGGATTGCTTTCTGTAGAGCATAGTAATGGGAGTTCATGTTTGCTGAAAAGTTGTTGAAGTTATTCCATACGTGGGTTTGAGGTTTTATTGTGTTTCTGCCTTGATTTATACTTTATTGCCAACTAAACAAACCATTGTTTTCTAATGGAGAATATGATTAGTGTGCTTTCTTTGTACAGATCAGAATGTCAAGTGGTAATCTTAATTAAATATTTATAAGATCATATTCATGTTAGTGAATTTCTAGGAGTAACACAGCCTTTTTTCTTCTTTTGTAGCATAAGCAGTACTATAATGGATGTAGACAGCACAATTTCCAGTGGGCGTTCAACTCCAGCAATGATGAATGGACAAGGAAGCACTACTTCTTCAAGCAAAAATATTGCCTATAATTGTTGTTGGGACCAGTGCCAGGCTTGCTTCAACTCTAGCCCAGATCTGGCAGATCACATCCGTTCCATACATGTAGATGGTCAGCGAGGAGGGGTTGGTTTTGCATTTCTTTTTTCATTCCCTGTTTTTATTTATTGATTTATAATTGCTAGTTAGGCTTTTTTCCTGAAAGTAATTGGGGATTATTTTCACACAGGCATTATTTTCCTCAAATGTTTTTCTTTCCTTTTAATGACTTCTCATAGTTGATAGGGCCTAATGAAAATAGGGTATATTGTGCGTTTGCCTATAGTTTCTTGTTAGATACATGATTTTCAATAGTTGAAGTACTTTAAATGAATAAATTGTATTCCATGGTTCTGATGTTTTTGACTTGAGAACGTTTAGTAATTGACACTATCCTGTATGTCCCTTGTTAAAGGATCTAAATTGTCCCTGATACTGAAATTAACTAGAAAGACTGTTGGTATGCATTTCTACTAAATGACAACCTGAACTCATTATTTGTGAGTAAGAATTGATCATCTTTCTCAGATCCTGTCAGAGTTAGTCTAGGCAGAAAGTTCTCATTAGTCAGTATTGACCTATATGTTTCTGGAATCCATTTAATTATGTCAGTTCACACAATTTATTGAGTAGTGAATAAATAGCCTAGCAAATTAGGTGAGTCAAAGTGCAATGGACCAAAATATGAATTCATAAATTTCTTTCAACTTTACCTAGGTTTGTCTTGAATAGCTACCACATTTAGTACATTTTCCAGAAGTTAATGTCACAGATAATTTGTTAGGCCATGCATCTCTTACCAGTTGTCATCATTATTGATACTAAAGTGGTTAAAGTCATCATGGTTTAAGTGAGTGGGTAACTGTTTCCAAGGTTGTATTGATATTTAGATTATAGTATTGATTGTCTCTTTTTTTAAACATGCAACCATATCAGCATCTTTTTGCATTTTAACCAGTGTTAATCACATTTAAAATTTCCTTTAAGAAAACTTGTCCCTGTCACAAAATGTTACATATCAGCCACCTTCTGATCATTGAAGATGATGTCTTATTAGATTTATTTATGCTATCTCAGTCAGCAGTAAAATGCTACATTTCCACATAGTCTATTAATGAACAGTGTCCATCATACGGCATTTTCACTTGAAATTGAACTGCTGTCAGTGGTTAGGCTACTTTGGAAACATCCTCCCCTCCTCTCTCCATACATGCTCAATAGTCAGTGTGAATTATCTTACCACGTTGGTTTCCTGGTTATGACAGATTACCCTTTTGTGAGTCACTTGACTCAGCAACTATAGTACCATGAGCTATATATATAGATCACTAGGTTTCTTTTAAGTATGAGAGAATTGCACATTTATGATCTTTGGCTCTACAGGTTGATTTGGCACACAGTGTTATGAGAATGTTTTCAGTCTTTTACAGGTTTTTAGCAAAAATGCAGTTGCCAACTGAATTTTCTAAATGAAATATATAATAATTTTTACAATTACACATATCTTTCTGATGTTACAGAACTAGACATGAAATTGTGGTGATTTTAAGTATCATCTTTTAGAAGTGATTTGCCCCCTCCCCCCACGTAATTTCTTTCCTCTTATATGTGTGTGTCTTTGTGTGTGTCTTTGTGTGTGTGTGTGTGTGTGTATTATTTTGTGCCACAAGGCATATGAGCTTGCCAGAGAGAAAGAAAGCACTTTCCATAACATTGTCCATTTGCAGAACTTTTTCAGCATTATACTGAACTGAAATCTATACCCATTAAATAGACTCATTCTCTCTTCCATTCAGTTCCTAGTAAACGCCATTCTACTTTTTTAAAATCAGTATGACTGTTCTGTGTTCCTCATAGAAGTGGAAAAACATCTGATTTTGAGGGCCTATTTAATTATGTTTTAGATTTTTTACATCTTTGTATACTGTTAAGCTGTCATCATAGGACAGAAACAGATGAGAAAAAAAAATTGGTGACCCTTGATTTTATGTTTCTACTTACTGAAAGATGACACTTACTGGACCAGTGCATTGACAAGATCTAAATATTCTGTTTCCTTTTCTCATTCTACTTTAATCCTCACCCTGGGGAAAACAAACAAAACTGTCATATAAACATCTATAAATATCTTTTCCTGCCTTGAGTTTTCTGTGTTGCTATGTCCGTGTGGATTTTAATTGTATTTGAAGACTGAAGTCAAATGGAATTTAGGTTTTTCTTATATTTCATATGTCTGAGTGGGTGGATACTTGATTTTATGTTAAAAATTAAGCAGTGTCATTTAAAGACCAAATTGTGAATATACTTTTGAAATGAGATTTTTTCCTATGATTTAAAGAAAACAGGGAAAAAGTGCAATCAGTCTTTTGTATTATATATGATTGAATTGTCTTCTTAGATCTGTAATTCTGTGCATGACTGGGTTCTCAAAACTAGACTCTGAACTATTTCACTAATCAAATTCCAAATTTTAGTATATTCTCGTTGAACAGCTTTGTAGGTCGACAAGGCACTTCATCTTGTGAATTTTAGCGTAATAGCGTTGGTGTTCTGTTCTTACTGTCTTAACTATTTCTCACGTTAAAAACAATTGCTAGAAAGAAATCCATTCAGGATTCTTGATGTAGGATTTATTTTGTATATAATTTTTAACTTATATGCTTGTGTTTATATACTTCTGTTTCATTTTTGTTGAGGAACAGATGGAGGAGATTTTGGTGGTGAAGTTGATAGGGTAGTATTTAAAGTCTTGAATGGAGGATTATGTTTATAAGGTGGCTTTTATTTGTAGGTTAAATTGGAGTGTTGCTAGCAAGTGAAAACCAGTCTCATTATATGTTTTGACTATTAGTTTAAGTCCTAAATGCAACATATACTGTGTAATAAATGAGAAATATGATTTCAATTTTTTAATTAAAATTTTAAACTTATTATTTTTCAGTTTCATCAGAAAGAGACAGAGAGAGAGGGAAAGTGAGAAAGTAAGCCTTCAGTTCTGGGACTTGAACTGTGGTGGGCCATGTGGGAGTTCAGCACTATTAACCATTATGCCACCCTCTGGCCCTGATTTCAATTTTTTTTAATTGCCAGAGAGTGTGTGTTCTCCTGGAAGAAGTAGTGGTTGAAGGGCATGAAAAAACATCACCCAAGGGGGTATGGCCACTTCATAATTTTTTTTCCTTCATTCTTCTTTCCTGCCAAGATTCTTGGGCATTTATGAACACACAGTTGGTATGAATTTCAAGCTACCAGGGCCAGAAGTCATACCATGATCAGCCATGTGGGATCTCAAAACTAGAGATCCCTTAACATCTGCACTTCAGGGTTAGCCCTGATTAGAATGTTTGATGAAATGTTTTGTATCCGTTTTATTAAATATCTTTTAAAAGAAAATTGAAAATTTGATAAATTCAGCGTGGCTAAAAATAATAGGATGCAAGATTACATGTGTCATTTTTTTTTCTTTTTTTTGGGAGAGGTTTTTGCTATAGGGCACATGCGCTCACTAGAAAGACAGAGAGACAGAGAGATAGAAAGCAAGAAATCACCCCTCGGGGGGGATGGGAGCGCCACAATCCCTTCTCCATTCTCCTCTTGGGATCTTGGGCATGCACACACACGTGCCCGGCATGAGTTTAAGCCACTGGGTCTGGGACTCGAACCGTGGTTGGCTACATGGGAGTTCAGCGACATAACCATTACGCTAACTGCTGGTCCAACATTTGTCATTTTTGAAAGATTTTTGAATGAGGTGTCTGAATACAAAATAATTAGATTTAAAAAAACTTTTATTTTTCTTTTGTATGTTTACATCTTGTGAAAGAGTGAGCTGTTTCTTTGAATTACGAGAGTTTGAAGATACCATGAAGTCATTCATCCCTTTTCTGACTTTAGATGATGTATCTCTTACTTTATATAAACTGTTTTTGTATTATTTTGCTGCAAAAAGAATCTTAATACACAGTATAATTAGATCTCTTTATTTATTTTGGCAAGTGACTTATACTGCTTACCTGCATTGCATTTAGAATATATTTGACTGGTTTTAATAACTAAATTTTTTTATCTATACTTAGATTTCTCCCAGGTTATGTTGAATTCTTTGGCATTAGGTTTTGTATTTACAGAAAATTTTGATGGATTAATTTGTGTCCTTCCTATATGAGATGTGACCAGATGTAAGTGCATTTATCTCTGTATTGTCACACAAGCCATTATAGCTATAGGCCATGTGTACATTGAAATAAATATAACAGTGTGTTTATATTAAAAAAATACATCAGCATGTTTGTTCAAGGATATTGACCACAGTGAAGGAGATTAAGACTACCGTTGGGTACCAGGTTTGTAGTAGTTATTTTCATTTTACAAGAGATCCCTGTTGGTAAATCTTACCCATTCCACAGAAATCAATAAGGTTTCCTAGATTTCTTTCTTTCTTTTTTTTCTTTTTCTTTTTTTTTTTCTTTTTGTAATTACTTTATTTTAATTTGACCAGAGAGGGACAGAACGAGAGAAAGTGAGAAAGCAAGCCTCCAGGTCTGGGAGTTGTACCATACATAATCTGTCATGTGGGAGTCCAGGGCCCTTAACCACTGCACACCTGCTGGCCCCAGGCCTCCTTGATTTATTTATTTATTTTATTTTTTAAATAATAATTTTATTTTATTTATTTATTCATTTATTTTTTAATTTGACCAAAGAGAGACAGAGGGTGAGAGTGAGAGAGAGGAAGTGAGAAAGCAAACCGCCAGATTCAGGACTTGAACCCTGGTTGGCCATGTGGGAGTGTCCAGCACCTTAACCACCATGTAATCTGCTGGTCCCCCTCCTTGATTTCTTAACAGAAAGCCCAAAGTTCCTGTGACATTAAGATTTTTAGACCTCTAAATTTACATGTTAGGTTATTATAAATTTGAAGAGTCTTTAATAGACCAAAAATGATTTTTTAATGGCTGGGTGTTTCCCATCCCCAGTCCCTCACAGTCTGGCAGAAACATCTAGGGTTAGTTATTTTTGAGAAAGGATCTCCAGTGTGTTATATGTCTACTTTTTCTGTTGTCTAATCTTTTTGAGAGAATATGTCA